ACCATATATATACCCCTATATACCCCTATACAACACCATATACCCCTTATATATAAACACTATATACATATACCCTTTATACATATATTTATATAATTTTATACAACACCATTATATACTTTATACATACAACACTATATATATACTTATATATACCACTATACAACACTATATACCCCTATATACCCTATATATCACCATATACCCTATACATACAACACTATATACCCCTATATACCCCCTATATAACACCATATATAATATATACCCCTATTACACACCATATACCCCTATACAACACTATATGCCCCTATATACCCCTATACATCACCATATACCCCTATATACCCCTATACAACACCATATACCCCTATATACCCCTATACAACACCATATACCCCTATATACCCCTATTACACACCATATACCCCTATACAACACCATATACCCCTATACAACACTATATGCCCCTATATACCACTATACAACACCATATACCCCCATATACCCCTATACATCACCATATACCCCTATATACCCCATACAACACCATATACCCCTATATACCCCTATACAACACCATATACCCCTATATACCCCTATTACACACCATATACCCCTATACAACACTATATGCCCCTATATACCCCTATACATCACCATATACCCCTATATACCCCTATACAACACCATATACCCCTATATACCCCTATACAACACCATATACCCCTATATACCCCATACAACACCATATACCCCTATATACCCCTATACAACACCATATACCCCTATATACCCCTATTACACCTATATACCCCTATACAACACCATATACCCCTATATACCCCTATACAACACCATATACCCCTATATACCCCTATACAACACCATATACCCCTATATACCCCTATACAACACCATATACCCCTATATACCCCATACAACACCATATACCCCTATATACCCCTATACAACACCATATACCCCTATACAACACTATATGCCCCTATATACCACTATACAACACCATATACCCCCATATACCCCTATACATCACCATATACCCCTATATACCCCATACAACACCATATACCCCTATATACCCCTATTACACACCATATACCCCTATACAACACTATATATCCCTATATACCCCTATACATCACCATATACCCCTATATACCCCTATTACACACCATATACCCCTATACAACACCATATACCCCTATACAACACTATATGCCCCTATATACCACTATACAACACCATATACCCCCATATACCCCTATACATCACCATATACCCCTATATACCCCATACAACACCATATACCCCTATATACCCCTATACAACACCATATACCCCTTTATATAATAATTATTATACCCCTATATACACAACACCATATACTATATGCCCCTTATAACACTATATGCCCCTATATACCCTATACATCACAATATATTATATACCCCTATATATATATATGCCTTATACAACACCATATACCCCTATATACCCCATACAACACCATATACCCTATATACCCCTATACAACACCATATACCCCTATATAATTATATATACCCATATACAACACCATATACCCTATATACCCCTATATATGCCACCATATGCCCTATATATACCCTATAGAACACCATATACCCCTATATACCCCTATTACACACCATATACCCCTATACAACACTATATGCCCCTATATACCACTATACAACACCATATACCCCCATATACCCCTATACATCACCATATACCCCTATATACCCCATACAACACCATATACCCCTATATACCCCTACACAATACCATATACCCCTATATACACCTATACAACACCATATACCCCCATATACCCCTATAAATCACCATAGACCCCTATACATCTCCATACACCTCCATACATAACCATACACCCTTATACATCACCATACATCCCTATACATTCCCATACACTACTATACATCACCATACACCCCTACACATCACCATACATCCCTATACATCACCGTACACCCCTATACATCACCATACACCCCTATACATCACCATACACCCGTATACATCACCATACATCCCTATACATCACCATACACCCCTATACATCACCATACACCCCTATACATCACCATACACCCCTATACATCACCATACATCCCTATACATCACCATACACCCCTATACATCACCATACACCCCTATACATCACCATACACCCGTATACATCACCATACATCCCTATACATTACCATACACCTCCATACATAACCATACACCCTTATTCATCACCATACATCCCTATACATTCCCATACACTACTATACATCACCATACACGCCTACACATCACCATACATCCCTATACATCACCATACACCCCTATACATCACCATACACCCCTATACATCACCATACACCCCTATACAACACCATACATCCCTATACATTACCATACACCACCCATACACAACCATACACTCCTATACATCACCATACACCCTATACATCACCATACATCCCCATACATAACTATACACCCCTACAAATCACCATACATCCCTAGATATCACCATACACCCCCATACATCACCATACTCCCCTATACATCACCATACATCCATATACCTCACCGTACACCCCCATACACCGCTATACATCACCATACACCCCCATACATAACCATACACCCCTATACAGCACCATACACCCACATACAACACCATATATTCCTATACATCTCCATACACCACTATACATCACCATACACCCCTATACACCACCATACACCTCCATACATAACCATACACCCTTATACACCCTTATACATCACCATACATCCCTATACATTCCCATACACTACTATACATCATCATACACCCTACACATCACTATACATCCCTACACATCACCATACATCCCTATACATCACCATACACCCTTATACATCACCATACACCTCTATATATCACCATACATCCCTATACATCACCATACACCCTCATACATAACCATACACCCCTATACATCACCATACACCCCTATACATCTCCATATACCTCCATACATAACCATACACCCTGATACATCACCATACATCCCTATACATTCCCATACACTACTATACATCACCATACACCCCTACACATCACCATACATCCCTATACATCACCATACACCCCTATACATCACCATACACCCGTATACATCACCATACATCCCTATACATTACCATACACCTCCATACATAACCATACACCCTTATTCATCACCATACATCCCTATACATCACCATACACCTCCATACATAACCATACACCCCAATACATCACCATACTCCCCTATACATAACCATACACTCCATACATAACCATACACCCCTATACATCACCATACACCTCTTTACGCGAAGTTCTTGGAAGGATTAACGTATGGGTTTTGAATAACAGTATCTATTCCCCGGGGGGGGGTGGGGGGTACTCTCATATATGGGCTATATAGGTACGTGCCGCGCAATAGAGTATGGTTTTTGAAGTTCTCGGTCCTTAAATAAGGTATCTTTCTTGACCCTTTTGTTTCTGTGTCCCTGGTGTGGTCCTTAGATAGGGTAGGTTAATTGCATTATCTAATACTGGAGTGGGAAAATGCGCGCCTAAACGAACGGTTTTGATTTTGCAACAGAGGTTTAATAGACGTTAAGCGGGTAAATACACGTAACGCCTCTTCAAGCCACATGTTTGTTTTTTCCTTGAATAGGGTGTAATTTTTCGGCTTTGGGCCTTAAAAAGGGTACCAGTTTTCTTAGCTTTTTATTGGATAATACCCGACCCGCGATGCCAAACAAAAACAAAAATGAACAAAAAAAATGCTCACACTTTACTAAGGTATATTGAATGTACTTCCTGACTTTCATGGACATGCATTAAACGGCTTAATTTGGTAGGTCACATGAACTATGGCTCGTGGAGTAATATAACTAAGTAAAACGTTGCGAAATAAATTGCACAAGCTTTGTAGCACTTTGATCCCGGCTGAACCGTATATTACCAAGATCGATGCCACCCAGCGACAGTTAGATGTTCGACATCAAGGGGACATAATGAGAAATTTAATCATTGTTTCTTGCTTATTCTTTGTTTTGGGATTTAAAACAATCATCTGTGTTCTTCTTGGAAAAGAAGCCCGACAATATCTGCGGGATGTCTTAAGAGAGTTTGAGTGTACACCGCAAAATGGAAGGTTTGATCAAATTGTTGAAGGGCCACACGCTATGTCAAAATTAATACCAAAATTATTTATCTGGTGTCCAATAAGACATTACGGTTTGACTATTTTATGTCCTATTCATGGCTGTCCTCTGAAAGTCGGACAGTGGACCGATCTTCCTGACTCCTCCAACACAAGTCCAAGAAACCCAAGATTGATTTACGACTTGAACGGAAATGTTATTCTGGTGCAGGCGTTCTATGAATGCAGTGAAAGTTTGCCAGAAAACGTGATGATTGGACATCGGTATTTGTCCGCATCAAACGATGTGTTAGGCGCTCTCCCTGAAAGTGTTGTTAAGGGATTTCCTCTTATAATGCAGCAGAGAAGCGGTTTTACGCTGCGTCTTTATGATTATTTAATAACTGGTATTTATCAAGGACAAAACTTCATGGAATTATCTGAAGGCATTGCATCAATGAATTACAGACAGTACATGCGTAATAAACCGGACAGCAAAGAGTTATCTGTAAAGGAGTTTGAGAGTATTCCTTTCATTGCCTATCAAGCAACGATAAACTAATGGATTTGTTTCTCATGCAGTTTGAGCGGAACAAAAACGTTATGAGAATAACATGCAGAAACACACAGGGGAGATTCTGTCCTGTGACCACACCTTTAGAACGAGTAAACATATCAGGGTAACCCGCGAGGACGGCAAGTTTGTAGGCCAGTTTAAAAACGTCTTCTTGGGGGGTGAACGAAAACGGAGAAGTTATGATATGGAAGTTTACGAAGACGACTTCTTCGTCCGAAATTATCGACTCACTTAAAGAACTGAAAGAGAGGCTTGATAAGGCAAGCACTAACTTAAAAATGATAATAGTGGATGACTGTTGCCACGTGATGCACCTATATGGACAAATATTCCCGGGGATAAAGGTTCGGCTAGACTTATTTCACGCGTGTATGAGAGTTGTACAAACGGTACCCAAAAGCGAAGATTACAGTAAACAATTTGCTAATAAATTTTCTTTAATTTTCCGTCAAAATGGAGACCTTGGTAACGAGAGAACAATGAGCACACCTTGCCCTGATGAAATAGAATCAAATCTTGAACGTCTTCTATTTGTTTGGAGAGAAAAGCTGAAAACGGAAACCCATCTTCAAATTGAAAATTTGCGCAAGCATATAAAAAAAGGATGTCTCTCGGAAATACCTGTTGGATGTGGGACTGAAATAAATGAGCGACTTCACAGACATCTTAACCGATCATTACTGTGCGGAGTATCCAAAATTGGACCTGAGTTGGCGGTAGCGGTAATGGCGTGTGCTTTGTATGCATGGAATTGCAAACGAAGATTAAAAACAACCCTCAATAAGAGAACAATTCCGATCACGCCAATTGAATTAGAGCCTTTAGAGTCTTTAAACCAAGCGACCCCTTATCTTCAGTCTCACATGACGGCTGTGGATTCTACGTCAAAGTCATTACCGGGTTCAATATCTGGAACTGTCTCTGAAAATAGCAGTAAGGCTAGTAGAATGCCAGGGACATCATCCGTTTTCGTCACAGTTAAGACTGTGGAAGAACTGGAAAACGATTCCGTCTTGAACTACATTTTGGAACTAGCGCTGCACATACAAGAATTTATCACCAGCTGGACAACAAAATGTAACAACAAAACAATAGATTTGATTGGTCTTCTCTGGAAGATAAACTTACCGGCAGCTAACCTTTATGAACAGGAGTCAAAGTTAAACGTTAAGGAATTAAATTTGACCCCACAGCACAAAGATAACCTGTTAAGAAATCTCACAGGATTTAATCTTCAGTTGGACCCAATTAACAAAGACGGAAACTGCTTCTTCAGAGCAACAGCCCGGCAGCTACAAAAACACTTGCAACGTTCGGATTTGCAAAATCTACAGCATATTTCCTCACTGGGGCTTGGAATCAACGAGGAACGCGACACGGAAAACCTCAGACTACTTTTCGTGCGTGAAGTCACTGAAAATCTCGATGAATACAGGGAGTGGATGTCCTGTTCGTCAAATGTACGGGAAATTGAACGTTTTAAAACTGATGGCCATTTCGCAAGTGACATTGGCGACATCTGTGGTAAGGCATGTGCTAATCTCCTCCGTGTCCCGATAATTGTAATTACAGCTTTGCCTAATGTCCCATCCATTCCATTTTTACCAAAACATTTCATCACTGCTGTACCTATGTATCTGGCGTACGACCATTCAGGTCCAGGGCATTATGACGCTACAAAAGGTAAATAAGGCATTAAGACGGAATCCACCAGGAAATTGAGTAATTTAAATTTTCATTGTACAAAAATACCAGAATAATTCAAACAACATCGCATTCTTTTTTTATATTTTCAAGGGCTATGGATGCAATTAGTTATCTGTAACACCAAAGAATGTGAAAAGAAAATGTCTCATGAGAGCCAGAGAAAATAAATGTCAAATTTCACAAAATGACACCTTACACGTGAAATTTTCAGAACTTTACCTGTGTTTTCACAATTCTCGTGAAATTTGACATTTATTTTCTCGGGCTCCCATCAGAAATAGTCTTTGGTGTCATTACAGATAACTGTTTATATATCCATAGCCCTTGAAAATGTGAAAAAAAAGAATGCGATATTATTTAAATTGTTCTGGTACAAGGTTTTTGTTCACTGAAAATCAAAATTACTCAATTTCCCGATGGATTCCGTCTTAAGCCTAGTTTAAGTGTAGCACGTTTGCTTGAATGATTTTGTTATTGGCATTTGTACGTTTTCCTGCCCGTGTGTGTTTATAAAGGTCTTCTAAATAAGCAAATAAATATATAAAGAAATAAATAACGATTTAGAGGTAGCACATCCACAAAGTGGTTCTTCTTCTACCTGATTCCTGATCGAATTGGGATTTGGAAATGCTACCGGCAAAAAAACCTCTCGGAGCAAAGGAGAGGAAGAACAACAAATTCAACCACATATGGCGTCGACGCCGGGATTTAAACCCGGGCCACACTGGTGGGAGGCGAGCGCTCTCACTACTGCGAGCTACTGCGCCATCCTATGCTCTCCGAACTCGTTATTACCTATTGGATTGGCAATCACTCAATCATAAATATCAAAGAAGATACTCTCTTATTTACAGATGAAGAAAAAAACGAGTATCTATCATTTGAAACGTGGATATCTTAAAAATCAACTAGTCCATAGGATAATAATAATTGTAATAATAATAATGAATCATGATGATGATGATGATGATGATGATAACAACGAGGGTTACCATTCCTTTGAGAGGTTTTACTTACACTGTATTTTTTCTCTGGTATGTTTCCAAAATTTCTGAATTCGAATGATGAAACGGAAGGAAATGACACTAAAACCAGATGTACCTGTGGCAAGAATGTTAAAGACCCTTCCAAAATGGCTTGCACATCTTCTAAAACGTCCTTGTAACAGAAAAAGTCAAGCGTGCTCAAGAAAATGTCGCTGCTTCAATTGTAAGAACAAAAATAATGCTGCCTTTGAGGGAGAGAGGCAATTAGGCGAAACACGCAAACGCAAACGCGGATGTACATGTGGTAATACCTTAAACAAAGAAGATAAAGGTCGTGTATCGTGCAGAGATGGAAAAAGAAAAAGAAAATGTCCATGCGTTGCCGAAGGACTCGGGTGTACCGAGTCATGCAAATGTTACAACTGTGGAAATATCTTTCAAATTGGCGGTGTTTCCGCTTCACCAGGCACAGGAAGAAAGAGAAGGAGAGCTACCATTTCAACCTACAAGAGACAACGAGGAAAAGAGTTTATGGAAAGACAGAAAGCTCCAGTGACCTCGGGACCTTGGAGACTGCTAGAAACATTGTGTCTAGTAGTTTGTAAAGAAATTCTCTTCATTAGAGAGCTTCCAAGAAATTCATCAAACTTTTCAACGCTGTACAACTTTGTTGCAGAATCGGACAAGGTTAAGGAAATGTCTTTAACGATTGAACGAAAAGTACAGCTCAAGTAGCGGCAAAAAATCGCACATTTGTCAGAACATAGTCATTGTTGAGCTTTTTGAACAAGAAAAAGGAACAGGGTTACAAATTTAACCTCGGGTCAGAGATCATAGGCGAATTGAGGGAAAGGTGCACTGCATGTTTAAAAAAAATGTAAATGAGTGTATAATCAGGTTTAAAAATTTGTGAAGCCGAGGTTTTTACACCTGGTAATACACAATTGCGAGTTGCGAGTTGTTTTGAATGGCTTCAAATTCTCCGCTAATTTTATAGATGAACTCATTTTTGCACAAATATATTTAGATTTGTGGTTATTATGGCCCTAACAATTGAACGTAAAGGTTAGCCGTTTTTTTTTATCAGACATAAAGACACTCATTTTACAAACAAAAATTTCTTTGTTTTGTTTTGTTTTTAATGAATTATTAATAAATGTCTGAAGTTTATTTATGCTTTTTGTTGATTATATACTGTGAAAAAGAGCTTGGCCTAGGGAGATAACTATCAACCAATCAGACTGCCCAAAAAAACCAAGCCTGGTGGATATATACTAAATAAATTTTAGTTACCGACAATAATTGCAATGTATTTAGTAAATATACCTATCTGCTATTTGTGAATTAGATTTTCAGTGAAAAGCTCAACAGAGTATGGTATCTCCATCCAGTACATATAATAATTCAATATCGTTTTTTTATTGATGAACTTGAAATTTGAAGGTCATATACCAATAATGAAAATAAAAAAATAGCTATACCACCACGGGGCAACCATGCTATGCAGGCACACCACTAGTGGCGAGCTTTGACAAAATTAATGCTATATATGCTTTGCTGAATGTAAAGGCATCTAGAAATAAAATGGGACAATGACACACATAAAAAGTACTATATAGGGTTGTATGGTGATGTATAAAGACACGTATGGGAATTTATAGGGTGTATGGGGACGTAGAGGGGTGTGTGGGGGATGTATAGGGATGGGTGTTGTAGGGGTGTATGGTGATATATAGGTGTTGGGGAATATATTGGGTGTATGGGGATGTATAGGGATGTATGGTGTTGTATAGGGGTGTATGGTGATGTATATAGTGTATGGAATGTATAGGGGTGTGGGGATGTATATGAGTATATAGTGTTGTATAGTATATGGCGATGTAAAGGGGTGTATGGTGATTTATGGGGTATGGTGTTGTATATGGGCATATGGTGATGTTGGGTGTATGGTGATGTATAGAGCACATAAAGTTTATATGGGTATAAGTGGTGTTGTATAGGGCATATGTATGATGTGCCAGGGTGTAAGTGGTGATGTATAGTGTATGTAGATGTATAGGAGTATAAGGAAGGTATGCGGGTATATGGTGTTGTATAGGGTGTATGGTGTTGTATAGGACATGGTGATGTATAGGGATGTATGGTGATGTGTTGGGGTGTATGGTGATGTATAGGAGTACATGGTGTTGTATAAGTGGCATATGGTGTTGTGGGGTATATAGTGTTGTATAGTATATGGCGATGGTTAGGGGTGTGTGGTGATGTATAGGGGTGTATGGTATGTATAGGATATATAGAGTGCTGGGTGTATGTTGATGGTTAGAGTACATGGTGTTGTATATGGGTATATGGTGTTGTATAGTATATGGCGATGTAAAGGGGTGTATGGTGATGTATGGGGTATGGTGTTGTATGTATAAGTGGTAATGTATAGGGTGTGTATGGTGTTGTATAGGGGGTATATGGTGTTGTATAGGGCATGTTGTGTTGTATATGGGTGTGTTGTATATGGCATATGGTGTTGTATACAGTATATGGCGATGTAAAGGGGTGTAAGGGTGATGTATGGGGTATATGGTGTTGTATATGGGTATATGTGTTGTATAGGGGCATGGTGTTGTATAGGGGTGTATAGTGTTGTATATTGGTATATGGTGTTGTATATAGTATATGGTGTTGTATAAGGGCATATGGTGTTGTTAGGGGTATATAGTGATGTATATGGGTATATGGTGATTGTAAGGATATATGGCGGTATAAAAGGGTGTTGTGGTTATGGGTATATGGTGTTGTATAGGGGTATATGGCAATTTATGGGGGTATTATGTTTATTTATAGGTATATAATAATTGTATAAAATGGTATAATAGGGTTGTATATAGGTATATAGTGTTGTATAAAGTATATTACATTGTAAAAGGAGGTGTATAGTGATGTATTAGAATTAATAATTATTCTATATAGGTATATAGTGTTATATATATAAGTATATAGTGTGTATATAGGTATATAATTATTGTATAAAGGATATATAGCAATATATAAAAAAGGTGTATAGTGATGTATTAGGGTGTATGGTGTTCTATATGCGTTATATGGTATGGTATATTACGATGTAAAGGGGTGTATGGTGATGTATGGGAGTTGTATGGTGTTGTTTATGTGGGTATGGTGTTGTATATGGGTGTATAATTGTTGTATAGGGGTATATAGAGGTGCTATGGTGTTGTATGACTTGATAATATTATCGCAGTCAAACTTGGTCTACAAAACTGCCTTAACGTACTATCTTCATATTGCAACTCATGGATGCTTAGAATAAATCCTAAAAAACCAAAATAATGATTTTCAACGATGCACACGAAAATGTGAACATAACTTCCGCATAACGTGAAGTAATCGACGTTGTCCAAAACTATACTTACTTAGGAACTCGAATTACATCTTCGGAAATTTTACACTTTCGCTGAACATCTCCGACAAAAACCTCTTCACGCGCTCTTCAGCCTCAGGCGACACACGGTTTGAATAATCTTAAGCCCTCACTTGCGTGTAAAATTTTTGACTCTATGATTTCACCAATTCTAACCTACAACAGCGAAGTTTGGGGTGCTTTTGTTAAATCAGATTTTAAGTCCTGGGACAGCTCTGCAATTGAAAAAACCCATTTGCAATTCTGTAAACGTTATTTACAAGTACATAACAAGGCATCCAACATTGCTTGTAGAGCTGAACTCAGTAAATTTCCCATGATCATTGATATAAATAAAAAAATTCTAAATTACTTAGACTATCTGAGAGGTAAGGATGAAGATTCTATAGTTAAACAGGCCTTACAAATTTCAATTGACCTTCATCATAACAGGAAAAACTAGCTTTTACTCTAATCTCATGAAAATGGTTGACTACTATGATCTAAACTATGACTTTTCCTGTAATTCATTGGGTGACTCAATAGTTAATAGGTATATCGGCATAATGAAAAATAAATACGTCTCTTACTGGAATCAGACACTTCAACAATCCACAAAACTCAGTTTTTATTGTACAATCCAAAGACGACTATAGCCCTCGCCGTACCTAGTTTTAACAAGAAAAAACCCTTCGAGAAAAACATTAGTTAGATTTAGAATAAGTAGTCATCAACTTAGAATTGAAACAGGTAGATACGAAAACATTCCTCGCAATGAAAGGATATGTCACTTTTGTACAAGTAAGAAAATCGAAGATGAAAATCATTTCTTACTAGATTGTAAAGGCTTATTCTCAGATCAGAGACATATTTTTCTCGAAACTAGAAACTAAATACCCTGACTTCAAATCACTTTCACACGATACTTTAATATCTCTTCTTATGAATTCTTCTGATTATTTAATTAACTGCCAATTAGTTTCATTTATCTCGCAATGCTTAGAATTAAGGACCAAATTAATATCAATGAATGAATGAATGAGAACTGTCACGTTTTGTAATGTTTGCACGTACTAATTAGTTGAATTAGTACTTAAATTTAGATTAATAGCTTTTGCAATACTGTAATTCCTTTATGGTCCATACAAATAAAAGCTTTTGGTGTTGTTGTTGTTGTTGTTGTATGGGGTATATAGGGGTATATGGTGTTGTATAGGGGTATATAAATTATATATATGTTGTATGGGGTATATAAGGTATATGATGTTGTATGGGGTATATAAAGGGTATATAGCGTTGTATAAAGGAGTATATAAGGGGTATATAGTGTTGTATAAAGTATATAAAGGATATATAGTATTATTGTATAAAGTATATAAGGGCATATAGTGTTGTATAAAGTGTATAATTGGTGTGTAATAGGGGTATATAAAGGGTATATGGTGTTGTATAGGGTATATAGGGGTATATGGTTATTGTATATGGGGTATATAAAGGGGTATATAATTGTTGTATAGGTATATAAAGGGTATATGGTGTTGTATAGGGGTATATAAGGGTATATAGTGTTATATAAAGGGATATAAAGGGCATATAATTGTTGTATATGGAGTATATAGGGGCATATAATTATTGTATAGGGGTATATAAATTATATAGCGTTGTATAAGGCATATAAAGGGCATATGGTGTGTATAAAAGCATATAAAGGATATAGTATTTATATAAAGGGGTATATAAAGGGCATATAGTGTTGTATAAAGGGTA